TGCTGGTAAGGTGTACCTGGAGTTTGTTTCGGTGGTCATTGTCACTGAGGCCAAGACCCAGACCAGGCCTCGCGGTGGAACGCATGATCATCTAGGCTGTTGGTGCTAGCTGCACACAGTCCAACTTATGTACCACAGCCCGGTTGATCAGGAACTGACTAGAGGAATTTATCAAGCGTTCTCAATAATTTAGGTTCCTGACTGACTTGATGCAGACGTTGTAAGTTCTCTTGACATTTTCCAGGTCTGCGATTTTGCCTCCCGTAAATGGGGCAGTGATCCAGTCTAGAGTGAGCAAGTGACTTAAAGAGAGTCATCATTGGCTTGACATGTCTCATCTCTGTGATCCTTGAAAGTGACATCTGATATTATCACTTTAAGTCCTTCATATTAGTTTTTTGCTCTGTTGGGTGAGCTCTTTTTTTTTCATTTCCTCAAGTGTTTTCAGAGCGGAGTAACTGGAATTTGTCCTCATTGAACATATTGTTTTCTGTGGCCCACTGGAGGACTTTGTTTATATCAACCTGGAGATTGTTTACTCAATTGATGCCACTCTTATACAGGCTGAGTGAAGAAAATATATGTTGGAGAACAAGTTTTAGCAGGTCATACTACCTGGAGAGGGTTTCGGGGGTCAACGCCCCCGCGGCCCGGTCTGAGACCAGGCCTCATGGTGGATCAAGGTCTGATTAACCAGGCTGTTACTGCTGGCCGCACGCAAGCTGACGTACGAACCACAGCCCTGTTCGTCAGGTACTGACTTTAGGTGCCTGTCCAGTGCCTTCTTGAAGACAGCCAGGGGTCTATTGGTAATCCCCCTTATGTATGCTGGGAGGCAATTGAACAGTCTTGGGCCCCGGACACTTATTGTGTTGTCTCTCAGTGTACTCGTGGCGCCCCTGCTTTTCATCGGGGAATGTTGCATATCCTGCTGAGTCTTTTGCTTTCATAGGGAGTGATTTTTGTGTGCAGGTTTGGTACCGATCTTTCCAGGACCTTCCAAGTGTATATTATGTATCTCTCTCCTGCGTTCGAGGGGATACAGATCAAGGACCTTCAGCCGTTCCCAGTAGTTCAGGTGCCTTTTCGTAATTAGGTGTGCCGTGAATGTTCTTTGTAAACTCTCCTGATCTACGATGTCGCCAGCCTTGAGGGGGCCCGTTATTGTACAGCAGTATTCCAGCCTAGAGGGCACAAGTGAAGGTGAAGGATGGCCTCTTCCTTTCTAACAGAGATGTAATTTTGAATACATGATGAAGCCTTGTGTGTGGCTGAGCCTCGGTGAGGCAGGATTTGTCGCGGTCACTGACGGTGGTCACTTAATCCTGCTACACGGGCTAGTTTGAGTAGGATTATTAGCAGTCGCTTGAGCAGTGAGGACTGGCTTGGGGTTCACACTAATGGGTTTTGAGATGGACACGCCTCAGTTCCACCAGGCAGAGTGACATTAGGATAAATCTTTGAAGAATATAATCCGCTAATAGTGTGAAACCTTCATAAATCATAAATGAACAGTTGGAAACCGTGTACTCGCCTAATTATGGCTGCAGGGGTCGAGTCATAGCTCCTGGCCCCGTGTGTGTATGTGTGTGTGTACCATTTTGTTCTAGGCACATGTCGATTAGACACTAGGCCTGTTGTTTGTGCGTGTGTGTGTGTTGCAGGGGTCGAGTCACAGCTCCTGGCCCCGCCTCTTCACTGGCCGCTACTAGGTCACTCTTCCTGCTCCATGAGCTTTATCATACCTCTTCTTAAAGCTGTGTATGGATCCTGTCTCCACTACATCACTTCCCAGACTATTCCACTTCCTAACAACTCTGCGACTGAAGAAATGCTTCCTAACATCCCTGTGACCCCTTGTTGCTGTTTCCCATATCTGGAACATCCTCCCTCTCTCCACCTTGTCGATTCCTCTCAGTATTTTATGTCGTTATCATATTACACCTATCTCACCTGTCCTCCAGTGTCGTCAGGTCGGTTTCCTTAACCTCTCCTCGTAGGACATGTCCCTTAGCTCCGGGACTAGTCTTGTTGCAAACCTTTGCACATTCTCTAGTTTCCTTACGTGCTTGGCTAGGTGTGGATTGCAAACTGGTGCCGCATACTCCAATACAGGCCTAACGAACGATTTCTTATTGAGATGCTGGAATGCTGTTCTTAGGTTTGCTAGGTGCCCGCATGCTGCAGCAGTTATTTGGTTGATGTGCGCCTCAGGAGATGTGCCCGGTATTATACTCACCCTTAGATCCTTTTCCTTGAGTGAGGTTTTAGTCTCTGGCCCCCTAGACTGTACTCCGTCTGCGGTCTTTGCCCTTCCGCAATCTTCATGACTTTGCATTTGGTGGGGTTGAACTCCAGGAACCAGTTGCTGGACCACGCCTGCAGCCTGTCCAGATCCCTTTGGAGTTCTGCCTGGTCCTCGTCCGATTGAATTCTTCTCATCAACTTCACATCATTTGCAAACAGGGACACTTCGGAGTCTTTTCCTTTCGTCATGTCGTTCACAAATACCAGAAACAGCACTGAACCTAAGACTAACCCCTGTGGCACCCCACTCGTTACAGGTGCCCACTCTGACACCTTGCCACGCACCATGACTCGCTGTTGTCATCATGACAGGTATTCCCTGATCCATTGTAGTGCCTTCACTGTTATCCCTGCCTGGTCCTCCAGCTTTTGCACTAATCTCTTGGGTGGAACTGTGTCAGTCGCCTTCTTACAGTCCAAGAAAATACAGTCTACCCACCCCCCTCTCTTTCTCTTACTGCTGTCACCCTGTCATAGAACTCCAGTAGGTTTGTGACAGGATTTCCTGTCCCTGAACTCGTGCTGGCTGTCGTTGATAAGCTCATTCCTTTCTAGGTGCTTCACCACTCTTCTTCTGATAATCTTCTCCATGACTTTGCATACTATACATGGTAGTGACACTGGTCTGTAGTTTAATGCTTAATGTCTTTTTTGTTTTTTTTTAAATTGGGAGTATGTGTGTACTCAGTTGTACTCACCTAGTTGAGGTTGCAGGGGTCGAGTCCAAGCTCCTGGCCCCGCCTCTTCACTGGTCGCTACTAGTTCACTCTCCCTGAACCATGAGCTTTATCATACCTCTGCTTAAAGCTATGTATGGACTCTGCCTCCACTACATCGCTTCCCAAACTATTCCACTTCCTGACTACTCTGTGGCTGAAGAAATACTTCCTAACATCCCTGTGATTCATCTGTTTTCAACTTCTAACTGTGTCCCATCTCTGGAACATCCTGTCTTTGTCCACCTTGTCAATTCCTCTCAGTATTTTGTATGTCGTTATCATGTCCCCCCTATCTCTCCTGTCCTCCAGTGTCGCCAGGTCGATTTCCCTTAACATCTCCTCGTAGGACATACCTCTTAGCTCTGGGACTAGTCTTGTTGCAAACCTTTGCACTTTCTCTAGTTTCTTTACGTGCTTGGCTAGGTGTGGGTTCCAAACTGGTGCCGCATACTCCAATATGGGCCTAACGTACACTGTGTACAGGGTCCTGAACGATTCCTTATTAAGATGTCGGAATGCTGTTCTGAGGTTTGCTAGGCGCCCATATGCTGCGGCAATTATTTGGTTGATGTGAGCTTCAGGAGATGTGCCTGGTGTTATACTCACCCCAAAATCTTTTTCCTTGAGCGAGGTTTGTAGTCTCTGGCCCCCTAGACTGTACTACGTCTGCAGTCTTCTTTGCCCTTCCCCAATCTTCATGACTTTGCTCTTGGTGGGGTTGAACTCCAGGAGCCAATTGCTGGACCAGGTCTGCAGCCTGTCCAGATCCCTTTGTAGCTCTGCCTGGTCTTCGATCGAATGAATTCTTCTCATCAACTTCATCTGCAAACAGGGACACTTCGGAGTCTATTCCTTCCGTCATGTCGTTCACAAATACCAGAAACAGCACTGGTCCTAGGACTGACCCCTGTGGGACCCCGCTGGTCACAGGTGCCCACTCTGACACCTCGCCACGTACCATGACTCGCTGCTGTCTTCCTGACAAGTATTCCCTGATCCATTGTAATGCCTTCCCTGTTATCCCTGCTTGGTCCTCCAGTTTTTGTACTAATCTCTTGTGTGGAACTGTGTAAAACGCCTTCTTGCAGTCCAAGAAAATGCAATCCACCCACCCCTCTCTCTCTTGTCTTACTGCTGTCACCATGTCATAGAACTCCAGTAGGTTTGTGACACAGGATTTCCCATCCCTGAAACCATGTTGGCTGCTGTTGATGAGATCATTCCTTTCTAGGTGTTCCACCACTCTTCTGATAATCTTCTCCATGACTTTGCATACTATACATGTCAGTGACACTGGTCTGTAGTTTAATGGTTCATGTCTGTCTCCTTTTTTAAAGATTGGGACCACATTTGCTGTCTTCCATGCCTCAGGCAATCTCCCTGTTTGGATAGATGTATTGAATATTGTTGTTAGGGGTACACATAGCACCTCTGCTCCCTCTCTCAGGACCCATGGAGAGATGTTATCCGGCCCCATTGCCTTCGAGGTATCTAGCTCACTCAGAAGCCTCTTCACTTCTTCCTCGGTTGTGTGTACTGTGTCCAGCGCTTGGTGGTGTGCCCCACCTCTCCGTCTTTCTGGAGCCCCTTCTATCTCCTCTGTGAACACTTCTTTGAATCTCTTGTTGAGTTCCTCTCGTGTGTGTGTGTGTGTGTCTTTGTTTCTTTGTGTGTCTTTGTGTGTCTGTGTGTCACGCTCACGCGCTTGTGCTCGCGCCTCACTGCCCTCTTCCCTTTCAGGCTCTTTTCAAACCGTACGCTTTCCCACCCAGTCCTCCTCATGTGTGTACACTCAGTCAAAACTCATCGCATCCCAGTCTACCCTGACCAGGATCCCTGTGCTACCAGCTGAGATACCAAGTGACATGGGTAATAATTTACACTGAGTAAGGTTTTTCATCTTGGGCACACACAGCAACTTGTTTTCTCTGTATCGAGATAAGCAAAATTTCAACACTAAACAACCACTTTAAGATGCCTTTAGAGATACAACCACTACTTAATTTTAGTACCCTTCATCGCTCTACTGGATCATCTAGGCATTTTGGTGCCAGTTCCTCGCCGGGAATGTTTGTTTTAGCAAATACCACAGTAGCGGTGCCACTGACAGTTATCATCGTTGTCGTGTTAGTCATCAGCGGGAGGCCAGAAACAACAGTGTACTGGTGCAGTCCATGTAAGGTACGCTGATGATACTGCGATGTAGCCCCATCTCAGTACTGTATGTGCCACTCGAGTTAGCTCTTCATTCTTGTAGATAGGAAGTACAGTGCCTGCACAAAGTGTGGGTGAGAATGTTGCGGTTCAGAGGGTTCATTTGAATTAAGTCCGCGCATTTCTGGCAAGACTGCTATTACATGATGGATGGTGAATGTGTTTTCTTCTTCGGGTCATCTTTCCTTGATGAGAGGCAGCCGGTATTTATTATGATGCGTTTGAATTTATTAGGTTATCCTAGGTTAAATTTGTCATATTTATGCCATAAGAATTATTGCATAAATTGTTTGTTAAATGATTTGTAAATGTCCTTAATAATGTTTACTCAGAGTTTACACTTAGAGCGAGTATTAACTGCATCCATTTTCTCTTACAGTTGGAGAACATCAGTGCGTCCCTGGCTTACCTTGCTGGGGTCGGGGTGGCCCTCGACGGTCTTACGGCCAAAGATATTAAAGACGGCAATCTCAAGGCCATCCTCTCGCTCTTCTTTGCTCTCTCCAGGTAAGAGTGTCAAACTTTGCTTTTATATTGAGTTACTGCAACACTACCAGTCAGCTGTAAGTAAAACCCGAGAAACATAGAGATAGCCTAGATAGTCATCACGAATATGTTTGGTGAAGTGTTCTGTTGTGATTTCATGCAGTAGTTAACTTTGTCTCATGGTAGCTTTTGTAAAAACTAAGTTAGGACAATTCAAAATAGTCATACAGTGCAACTTATTCATTTGGCTCTTAATTTCCAGTATGCATATGCATCCATGCATATGCAGTGGTTAACCCACAAATGAATCTTCAGTCTTTAGACGAAGTTTCGGCCCATACTGGACCAAATAAATTTGGTGATAATGGTCCAGGACTAACAGAACCATTGGTGTTTTTTATTAGTTTGGAGGTTACCTGTGAATTGTTCCAGGCACGGTATTGTAACTTTTAGTCCTCTTGTCAGTATACTTGTTTGTCAGTAGTCCCCTCTGAAGACCTATATGTAGTGCTTTCGACTATAATTATTTGTTGATTTAAAAACTGCTAACCAGTGCAGCTCTTTACATGATAGTACAGAGAAAATGACGCTGTTGAAGCAAACTAACCGAAGTTGCCCAAACTTAACCTATGTGGAAAATACTGTATATATTTTCTAGAAATTCAGTATTTATATGTAAATAGATGGCCATACTGTATTTAATAATATTTATGTCATAGAAAACGGAAAGCCTGCATCTGCGCAGACGGGACTAGCCATCTTGGTTTTTGAATTTGTATTAGAAACGTTGGTGAATGGGGAAGAATTTTTCGTGCTCTAGAGGTTAAAATTGTGTTGGCACCTCTCAAATAGGAGGCGAAATTGGTGGATATGCATTCCTGCATAACTTGAGATATCAGGCAACTGGACAAGACAGCTCCGGGAACCTCAGATAAGTCTTATGTAGTAACCTGGCCAGTGTTATTTTCATAGACAGTGAGATTTTCTGAGTATGATACACATTAATCTCCAGTCAAATTGGTGAGTGTTATGATTAAGATATATTCTCCTTCTGTTATATAAATGTGTGTATATACTAGAATCCTTTTTTAATTTTAATATACAGTCCACAAATTTATATATTTACCAGCATTCTTGGTGTATGTATATTTCATTAATAATTAATAAGTCCAGAGCAACTTGTGGTTTTGACAGTGGTAGGTATCGAAGGGGGACATTTTTTGCGACCAAGGTGTCCCAAATTCCTACTTGTCTATTAACATTGATAAATAATAATTGTCTTTGTTATTTACTGTTATGTACATAATGAGTTACATACAGATAAATCCAATTTTCCACAACCTAAGTTAACATTAGGCTAGTGCTGCAGTAGTAACCACCATGTTGAATTCAGAGTGCTCTCGTGTCTAGGCTTTCTGAGTGCTCTCGTGTCTAGGCTTTCTGAGTGCTCTCATGTCTAGGCGTTCTGAGTGCTCTCGTGTCTAGGCGTTCTGAGTGCTCTTGTACATATTTTAGTTAACATAAACGATTTTCGTGTAAAATTTAGGCTAGAGACTGTCGGATAATGACTAACCAAAAATTAATAAAATAATTGATGCTGTGAAATGACCTTTTGAATCACCATTTTCTTGCAGATATAAGCAACAGCAAAAGCAAGCACAACAGGAACGAAAAGAACTCGAGAAACTAAGAGAGAAGAAGCAGGAGAGCGAAATGGTGACGACCGCAGCATCAAAGTAAGTTATCTTACGAGACTTACATCATTCTCCTAATTATTAATTAGGAGAATTATGATGCAAAACGAAGTAGTACTCTACACATATGCAACTGTGTATGGTAATCTATGTAACTGTAATAGTGTATACCTGAATAAACTTGTATTGTGTGATGGGCTGCATCAGAAAAGGGCGAGTTACCCCTGAATGACTCGCTGTTTTCTGAGAATTATCTCTTGGCTCCGTTTTCTCTTATGGGAGGATCCATTACTTGCAAGGGATAACTCTGCCATAAGAAGATTAAGATTTCGTTCGGATTTTTAACCCCGGAGGGTTAGCCACCCAGGATAACCCAAGAAAGTCAGTGCGTCATCGAGGACTGTCTAACTTATTTCCATTGGGGTCCTTAATCTTGTCCCCCAGGATGCGACCCACACCAGTCGACTAACACCCAGGTACCTATTTGCTGCTAGGTGAACAGGACAACAGGTGTAATGAAACGTGTCGAAATGTTTCCACCCGCCGGGAATCGAACCCGGGCCCTCCGTGTGTGAAGCGGGAGCTTTAGCCACCAGGCCACCGGGCCATAGAGACTGCTTTTTACACAACATGCGTAGTAATATAATATATCATTATTTCTACAAGTCCATGTACAAAGTATACAGGCCTAGCTGACATCAATGACATGCTACTATATAGAAAGCCGCTTGTTATGCAGAGCATTTCGGGCAAATTAGGTCAGTTTTGTCCCAGGATGCGACCCACTCCAATCGACTAACACCCAGGTACCCATTTTACTGATGGGGAACATAGACAACCGGTGTAAAGAAACATGCCCAATGTTTCTACCCTTGCTGGGAATCGAACCCAGACACTAGCCGTGTGAAGCGAGAGCTTTTGCCACCAGGCCACGGGACACCGTTCAGATGATATAGTTAGGATTATTAATCTGTAGGGTTAATAACCCAAGTTAACCCAGTTAAGTCTGTGTGTGATGGGGAACTGTCGGTTTTTTTTTTTTTCACTGGAGTCCCTTAATCCTCTTCTTAAGAATGCGACACATAAGTCGACTAGCACCCACGTACCTACTTAATTGATGTTGGGTGAACAGAGGCAGCAGGTGTAAAGAAACAAATAACAAAAAAAGGCACAATACCGTGACTGGAACGATACACAAATAACCCGCACATAGAAGAGAGAAGCTTACGACGACGTTTCGGTCCGACTTGGACCATTTACAAAGTCACACTTATAAATGGTCCAAGTCGGACCGAAACGTCGTCGTAAGCTCATCTCTTCTGTGTGCGGGTTGCTTGTGTAAAGAAACATTCGCAACGCCTCACCCGTGCCAGGAAGCAGCCTGCTAATTCATAACATTTATATTTGGTTTGTAAATAAATTTTCTACATTTAGGCCTTGTTTTTTCAAAACGGACCTGAACACATACATGAAGTCAGTACCTGACCAGCCGGGCTGTGGCTCGTACGTTGGACTGCGTCCGGTCAACAGCCTGGTTGATCAAGCCCTGATGCACCGGGAGGCGTTGACCCCCGTAACACCCTTCAGGTAGGGTCAAGGTAGTATCTGCCGGATTATTTAAGTAAACTACTTTAAAAAAATGTTTATTATTGACTTTTTTAATCGCGGTGAATCTGTTCTTGTTATTCTTAGTGATAGGATTTTTTTTTTTTTTTTTTTTTTTTTTTTTTGACTTTTTTTTTTTTTACTTTTTTTTTTGACCCAATTGTATTCTGTATTTCACCTTGTATTACAACAAAGTTGCAACATAAGTAAGTACATTATATCAAAAGAATTGGACAACTTATAAGCAAATAAATTTTATTCAATAAAATGTACATAATACAAAATTAGAAGGCATTATTTTATATATTTAAAGGGTATATAAACATTATCGTCTGTAAAGGATGAGACAGTGCTATAATTATTCTTTATGTCGGGATATAGAACGAAAAGAGAATTTTGTCGAGTACTCTGCTTTGAGGAACAGTTTTTCACTATGGCAGCCTCGGATTTTTATGTGTAAATTCGGAATTAGATACATGTGCAACATCTGGGTATCTTTATTTGTAGACGTTTCGCTAACCAGTGTCTTTATCAGTACAGTACAAGGACACATTGTGAAGACTGTAGGTGAAGAACACCATAGTTTTGAAGAATCTGAAGCACGGGTAGAAAGATTGGCGCTTATATAAGCGCCAATCGTTCTGCTACATCTTTCCAGCATATTTCAGTAAGGTCATGGTTTATTTGGTTCCAGTTAATGTTTTATTCAAATTAAATCAGTTGAAAACATTTATGAATATTTGTTTTGAGTTGTTCAAAACCAGTGTGTTCGCATATACTCTTGACGAGTTCCGAGAGATTTTTCTACTCCCAGAGTCTGGCCTCGGGCCAGGCTCATCTGGTGTTTGCCTGGTCAATCAGGTGTTGCTGCTGGTGGCCTGCTGACCCATATATCCATCACAGCTTGGTTGATGTTGCACTTGGGGAAGATACTTATTCAGGTGCCAGATCAACCAGGCTGTGATGGATATGTGGGTCAGCGAGCCAACAGCAATAGGTCTGAAGGTCAATTAGGCCGTGGTCCTTGTGTACTTTTTGAATCCTGGTTACCAGTAGGTAGTTACGGGGGGTCACCACCGCCTCTCGACCTGGTCTCAGACAAAGCCTTCCAGTTACTGTGTAAATCAACCCTCCTGTTGTTGTCAGCTGCAAGATGATCAACGTATGCACAACCAAGATAAAAAATTGACTTTTGGAACTTGCCAGTTTCCCTCTTGAAGAAATCTACGGATCTGGTAATTTCCCTTAAATATGAAATGGTGGTGTTGAAGGGTCTTTGTCTACTTACATTTGTTTTTCTGTTAATGTTCTTTTGCACCCCTTCTTTTCATTGGAGATATTTTTAAACCGTCTGCCAAGCCTCTTACTTTAATGTGGAGTGGTTTCGGTGTACAGATTTGTAACGAGTCCCTCAAAAAAATTCAGGCGTAAATTGTGATACATCCCTTGTCTATGTTCCAGGTACAATTTGAGCATTCCCAGTAATTCAGATATTTGATTTAACTCATACGAGCTGTTTAAGATTTCTGTATATTCTCCAATTCTGGTAGTTTCGCTTACCTTAAGGGTATACAGCAGTATTACAGCCAGTGATGAAAATCATCATTGGTTTGAGATATATTATTCTGATGGCTAATTATCTAGCCTGTCATTTTCACTACAGATGTGATTATCACATTGATGTGATCCTTGAGCGTGAAATCCTCTGGCATTATCAATCCCAAGTCTCTTACATTAAAATTTAACTCTATTGAGTGATTCGATTTTATCTTACACTTCATTCCAGTCTCTATTTCCTCACTTTTCCATAGCGGAATGAGAAATTTGTCCTCATTGATTGTCAGTAGCCCACTGAAAGATTGTTTACATCTGCTTGGAGATTTGCTGTGTTTTCATTGGATACCATTTTCATAAGAAAGAGACTGAGGAGACAGTCACATGAAGGAAGTCTGGCAAGACTCCCTTCCCAAATCTCCCAATGAAACTTAGCACATCCTCTCACAGCCCAAACATCCCTTATAACCTCCATTACTTCCTTCCACTTTCCCTTCCTACATTCCTCTAAATAGCTTACTACAATTCCTTGCAACCCTCACCACTCCCTTTTCCCTTGCCCACCTGTTGTGGGTTGCATCCAGGTAAAAATGTACTGGAAAACTCCAATCCTGCTGGAGTGCCGTACACAGTGTAAGAAAACACTCTAGTGGTGTGAGTCAGAAGCTACAGCACCTCCTGGAAGTATCGCTGTACCTCATCATGTTAATTAAATGACATTCTTCCTTCGATATCCTCTTATGCAGCTCACCCTGCTCCCCGCACCACCCCCTCAAAATCCCCTAGAGGGACCAACCTGTTCTCTGGCAGCACCCCGGTATCCCTGGTTACTACTTGCCATAAGAGCAGCTCCTAGTACTGCAGCAGTCTATCTTACATACGCCCGTCAGAATGCAGTCTAGTCTGCATTATAGTAATTACGTGAATACTCAGTACAGTGCGCAGGAGAGCTATTTCCCAGGGAAGCATCTCCAGGGGCAGGAAGCAACTAAACGAGGAAGGTAAATTAAAAACAGTTAACTTGTGGCTACGGATGATTGCAAGTGAGTGTAAACAATTATGAGCTTTATGTAAGCAAGTCTAACATAATCCTATGCAAAAATTTAAATGACTTTATAATAACTTAAAGAGGGCGCGGTGGGTGGACGATCTGCAGCGCACTCTTTCTAATTCTGGGAAGATCGTAAATATTGAACAGTAGTTAGTATGTATCTGTGAGAGCGGTGTTGTCGTCGGGGAGGCTCTTAGTTAACCTGTGTCGTGTAGGAGTAAATGATCTGTGGTTCAAAAAAATATTTATGGTTTGTGGTTTACTCGTAGTTTATATGTAAATGTCAAGCATCACCACCCCTCAGCCTGGTCCCCGACTAGGCGTCCTTATTGATGACGTAATTAGCCAGGTTATTAGTGCTTGCTGCACGCAACCCGATGTAATCACTACAGCCTGGATTATCATGAATCTCTTTTAGGAGCTTAGCAAGTTCACTTTTCGTAATTTCCCTTCTTTTTCTTTGGCATGGTTTTGAAAACCCTTGCTCCTCATAACCATATATTTTTAAAAGGGGTGGACCGGTAAGCCAGTGGAAGGCCTCGGTCAGATGACCAAAAGCTGGAGCTGCGGGTCGTCATATGACTAAGACCCGCGTCAGGAAATGCGTGTCCTGTTTCCTGACAAATCTTACCTAACTTTGAACCTCTTGCTCGTTGAAAGTTATCTTAGTGTACTTGTTCTACTCTGTTTTTTCACTGGTGTATTTTCCATTGTTGAGTCCACTGTTCTCGTTATGGGGAATTCAATGTGCAGGTTTTCAGCCGGTCCTTCCTGTCTTTTGAAGAGGTTATAATACCTTGGTTTGCATCTAGACATTGAATTTATGGAACACAGATTAGAATGTTAACTTTGTTTTACACAGTGAGATT